GAATGGGGGGGTAGGAAAGAGGGGAAAGAAGGGGGAGGTGCGGAAAGAAGGGGGAGTCTCAAAGGGTTGCTGTGTACCGGCTCCCTGCGCCCTCCCCACCACCTGCCTCCGCTCTGCTCCCTCATCTCCCCCTGGCCTGGCCCTCTCAGTCGGCGAGTATCGGCTGTGATAGCGGCGGCGGGAGGAGAGGGGGGGGGGAGGGCACCCCGCTGGCTGTCCTGTCTGCCTTGGACCAACCGGCCGAACCGCCCAAAGCGAAAGGACGTCTATTCACCAAGACGACGGCAGCGGTCCGTCCGGCGAGTCAATAGAGTACCTTCCTCCATTATAAAAAGCATGACCCATGCGCAATATTAAAGATTCAGAGTAGGTACAAAACTAAACACTACCACACACACACACACGCGCGCACAACGCCACGCGGGGGAGGTCACACCAGTCCAGGCCATGCCCCGCGCCCCTCCACCCCACCCTCCAGCAGGCGGTGCAGGCCGTGTGTGCTGCTGGTCCAGAGCACCCAGCGACCCCGCACCACATGGTGGCCGCACAACATCGCGCACCAGCGCGCCGTCAACAGTCTGACCACACGCATCCCCCGAGCACCTCTCTCACACACACTCTCACCGAAACACGCGCGCACGCGCACACGCACACGCACACGCACGCACACACACACACACACACACATTGCCGTTCTCTCTCGCGCACTCGCTCCCTCCCACGCAGGGGGGGGGAGGAGGGGGTGACGACGACAGAGATTGAGGACGACAGAGAGACAAAGAGCAGGGGCACAAAGGTGCGTGCCTGACAGGGAACACTAACTATTTACACGGAAGCGGCGCTGAGCGGCAGTGAGCGCCAGTGAGCGGCGGTGAGCACCGGCTCTCACGTCTCGAGTTTTCTTTGCTGTGTGCGCGGCAGATCAAAGCAACAAGAAAAAAATAAACATACATCTGCGTTTAAAAAAAAAAGAGGCGTATAGGGTGTAAAAGAGAGGGATGATGAAAAAAAAAAAAAAAAAACAGTCACACACATCCTTTTCCTTCTTTCCCACCCCCTACGAGAGAGGACTATTTACGCGCCAGAAGCCAGATACACGGCCGTGCGCGCGCGCGCCACGTCAAGTGGGGCGCCTGCGATCGGGAGGGTAGGCAAGCCCGGCCGACAGGCGTGCTATTGTTCTGCCTACACGCAGCCTGCCCGCGCTCCAGCTCCAGCACATACACACACACACACACACACGATCCTCAACAAACACTGCCAATATTGAAAGGTGCGCAACATTCAGGCATGATCTCTCGCTCCTACACGACACATACACATAATATCCGCGTGCGTGTATGTGCTCTGTGCTTGAGCGCAAAAAAAAAGTTTGGTCGATTGAAGCATTGCCGTTAAATTAGAGAAATGTTTATACTCTTAGAAAATTTGAAATATCAATAAGATTTAAACAAGTTTTCTTTAAAACTTAATAAGAGCTCAGTTGAGATCTCGAATAACACAGCTATAAGGGCGGGTGTACGCGTGCGCGCACGGGTCGACGCCGCTGATTTGAAAAAGAATCAACAAAAATAAATCGGAGAGATGAGCAAAAGAATGATTAAATCTAGCAATTAAACGCGTATAAATTATACAAACGTTGATCATTCTCCCTTCTACCTATAGCAGAAATTTCCATGAGACTCGTTTGTAGGAGGGAGGGGAAAGGGGGAAAAGGGGGGAACACATATGTTTATCTTGTTTTTTGAATTTCAACAATGTGTTGAGTTATTCCCGGAACGCCAATCAGCATCAACCGATAGGCACAGTCAATACACCAGTCTGTCTTTGCAGTACTCATTGGTGGTAACCACCAATTTGCCAGGTCGATATTTTTTGTGCTGTTTTATTCTGTTTCCCCAAATACGTCAGAACGGCCGACGTCAATACGTCCCTGGTGCCGACGAATAACGAGTCAACATGGACCGCCACCCTTACTCACAGCACGACAAAAATAAATGGTAAACCCCTAAATACACAATAAAAATTACAACTTTTTCTAAATTTCAAACGCGCTGTTTTATTTCTAACAAGCCTTTCGTAGAACTTTGGATTTGCCTTTTACTTTGACGTCGCCATCATTCAATGCGAGAGCGGGCACAAAAGTCATTTGCACTGACATTTTGTGTAACAAACTATGCAGATGCACACTTTTTGTTTTTGGTTTTCTGTCGGTAGCAGACTTGAAATGGCAAGGGTCGATGGCAACCACCCCCGCATCCTGTGCGCATAGCCGGCTCAACCCTTCGGCACCTCGACCCGCGCTCGGCACCAGAGAGTTCTATAAATCAACAATGTGGTAAATTTGCGCTCAGTCCTCGAGAGGGGGGAAGGGAGCAGGGTGGGAAGGGGGGGGGGCAGGACGCTGGACGGTAAATGGGATTGTGGGTGGGGGAGTGCGGCAGAGGGTGGTTATGCCGGGCGGGGGGCTGCAAGGGCGTGGCCGAAAGGTCGAAAGGTACCTTCTACTCACATGGATATGGGGACAAGCTATCAGAGCGGATGGTATTGGTTAAATTTCGTAAAACAATTCTACCAAAAAGCACAGACAGTCAGTACAGAATTTCAATTCTGTGCCGATAAGGGTTTAGTTCAATTCTAGGGGTTATGCGACAGGTGACCGGATAAGAGCTGAAGGGTCAGGGTGGACACAACAAGAACACAGCGGAGTGGAAAATAAGGTAGTATAGGGGGGACGGGGTATCAGCGACACGACAACAGCCCCGGTCCCCCGGCGGGCGGCGGGCGAGGCCGCGACCGGGAGCAACGGGAGGGACCTGGGGGGTACACATAACCAAGACGTACAAAAAGACCTGCGGAGGGCGCGGCGGCGGCGGCCAGCATGGCGAGGGAATCATCTTTTTCTGTGAGTTTTTTGGGGGGGGGGAGAGGGAGTGTGTGTGTGTGTGTGAGGGAGAGGAGGGAAGCAAGCACAAAGAGAAACGAAAAGACAAAATCGGGCAGCGCAACCGTAACAAAAACTGCGCGCACGTTCCGCCGTGAAGGAGACAAATGAAGGTTCGGGAGGTGGCAAGGGGTGCGCGGGGTTTGGATTGGGGGGGGGGGGCGGAATGCGGAGAATATGAGCAGACTGTATGGCCAATTTTCCCCATTCCTCTTCATGTTTTTTAGAAGTTCATCTAACAGATATGTTGTTGAAATTTTACGTATTATTGCAAAGAAACGTCAATCAAAGAATAGTGCCAAAAAAAAGGAGCGTATACAGTAAAATGTATTATTTGAAAAAACTTTTTAGCAAAAGTGCAGAACAAAATACCAAAAAACCTGCAAAAAGAACTGTAGCTTTAACATAACTACATCTGACAGGAATATATTTGTCAGTAACAATTGTTAGGGAATCACCCAGCAGCACACCCCGACGCAAAAAACAAAAACAAAAAAAATACGGGTTAGTACAGGGAGAGAAAAAGGGGAAAAGCGTGAGAGGATTCAGACGACCCTGGACTATTAAACAGGGCATGGTGGCACGCCGACGCAAGCGCACAGCGCGCGCACCTCGTCTCTCTTCCCCAAATCACTCTCTCTCACTCACCCTCCCTGCCCTCCCGTCTAATGGGGCTCCCATGCGGGCGGGCCCATGACACGAGATGCGACGCACGCGCAGCCGCGCCCCCCGCGGTCTTCATGACGCAAAACGACGCGCGTCCGCCACATCGAGATGCATCATTATTCACCTATTTTCATTTTTATTGTCGCTGTTGCCGTCCGGGACTATTAGGATGGTTATAGTTTGTGTATAGTGTTATGACACTAG